GAAAAATTTGTTAATTTTGAATTATTAAAACTTTAAAAATTGAAATTGTTTTAATAACTGTTGGTATTATAATAATGTATTATGCTGTTCGAAGTATAATAATAATTTATTTATAGCTATCAGAAATCAAGAATTATTAATATACCTAATAATAGTTCATCAATTTTTTTAACAAATTTGTTATTATATAAATAACATAGTATTTGCAAATAATTTCAATGTGATTTATATTATTTTTTTCACTACACAGCGCTGTTGATTATTTAATAATAATATTATATTTGTCTAATTTCTTTATTCACTCAGTGTTATAAATAAAATAAGATTTTAAAAGCATTTTGTAATGAATGACCAAATATGTTAACATAATATGACAAAATGAAATTATTAAAATATACAAAATGTGTACCTAAACGTAGTATTAATTTTAAAATATTATGTGCCCAAACGTTGTATTGAAATTTGGGGTATGAAAAAAGTGTGACTAAACGTGTGTTCCCAATCGTTCTCCCGAATCTCAGGTAAAAAAATCGTTGTGTGTCCAAACGTTTTACGCAGGGGCGCCATTTGGGGGGGAGCAGGGTGTGCMCTTGCACACCCTGAATTTATTATTTGCTATTGGCCTAGGCGTCACTGATTCACGGCCTTGCCGCCTTTGCCTTCAGTTTTCCTATCTTTAACATTATAGTTTAGGTCATAAACTGCTTTTAATGATTGATTTGTATTTTCTATTTTTATTGATATTCTAATTTCAAATATAGGTAAGTACCTATCTAACTATTAATTAAATGTATGCGTAAAAAATTTCAAAATAGTAATAGTTGAATGGTAAGATATCAAGTACCTAAAATATTAATATTTAATTTATTAATTTGTAATATTTTATGTATGAAAGCCAAATGTTTTTTTGACAATTGGCCTGGTGGTGGGAAAAAATTGGCCTCTTTAATTGCATGCACACCCTTAAAAAAAACTGAAATGGCGTCCCTGGTTTTACGGCCGTCGTATTGATGTGTTAACTATGATCAATAACATATTATTATAAATTGGTGCACTTCAGATGAATAAATCTGGTTAAATTTTTGTATTTGTATTCATTCCATCAGACAGGTACGCGTTTTCTTTATAGAAAAAAAGTCTCTCTGCTGTACACATTTATAGTAGGTTTTTATAGTGTACCGCACGTTATTGAGTAGGTCACTGTATAATTATGGTGTGTCAAAAATGAATTGAATGAAATCTATGAACACAAAACACGATTCTGATCAAAATCACAAACTCTATTTCTAAGAATAATTTATAATTTATTTGTATAAATATTAGTAAACGGTGGATTGAACTAATAAATTAATATTATTTAATATGAATCACAACAAAATAATGTTATCATTAGTAATAATTTTGAAATATTCTTTTATTGTTAAATCTAATTTTACCTCTTAGGCTTAACCTTTGAGTCTCTCCCTCTTCATTGCCATCTGTCCTTCCCAAAGAACCAAATAAATTCAATTTCTTACCAGAAACTACTCTCAAAGTTAAATATTTATGTATTAATTATTCAGCTTCAAAACTAAATGACCAACGTAAAATGTATAAAAAACGCTCTTGATCGTAAAACTAATACATTCATAATTAAACCATAATCTTAACAAAACAAACAATTATTTTAACGGCCAACTAATGATCTTTAAACCCTCTAACACCTTACCAAATTTAATGATTCAATACTGCGTTCTGAATTCTGATACGTGCGTTTGATTATAATTTGTAATTATTGTTTAATTTGTCTAATTAATTTCTAGATATTTAATAAATACCTACTCAAATGTACAGTAGCTATAGGTGTTATTACATCTTCAATACAGCTACGTGATAATCTATATATAGGTACATATTTACGACTATAGTTTTATGTCTACTAGAATGCGTGTGAACTTTATCATCATTAATTTTAATGGAGTCACATTATAACGTAACGTGCCACGAATAGTTTCTTTCGGTTCTTTATACCGAGCTCTTTTACACACCTAAGTATTTTTATTTTTTTTTTAAATTGAAAAAAAAAATCACACAACGCCCCTTTAATTTAGTACCTATAGACTATAGTATAGCGGGCGAGTTATTATAGTACCTATATATAACAGTATCGGCGAAGAACGACGCATATGTTTAGGGTTGCTACATTTGAAATTTATGTACAATGATGAAAAATAGTGCCACAATATTTTTTGGTGGTTGTGATATAAATCTTAAAGGTCACGACATTATTGAAATTGGACTCTCGGTGCAGCGCTCGCTGCGTGCTCTGGGGAGTAAAGTTAACTTTGCGCGCTAGTGTTCCGTCGACTTCTTTATTATTGACTATGTTATCGGCCGCCTTCCACGCTGATAACATTATTTATTGTAAACCAACTTAATACCGAAAGTCTTTAGACTTTTAAAACTTTATCAGTAACACCRATAGTCGACAAACGCGCCAGGACGCCCGCCAACACCAACACACGCTTTGAACAGTGTAATACACATTATCCTTCTTATCTTTCGTCCATTTGGATATTTGAAGCGTTCTAATTTGGGGTCTCTCCAAATCCTGTATGGTTAAAAGCATGGCTGAAAACCGTTATAAAACCGTGTCATCGTTTTTAGTAATAAAGGAAATTCGGTTACTGATTAAAGAAACCTTTGTATTGAAACAACATTTATAAATTCAATCTCCCCGTAATATAATTTWAAATAAAAACTTGTCTTCGTTTATATTATTTTGAATACTGTACATAGTTTGCTTATTTTCACAAAATTATAGGCATGCTGACCACACGTTAGATATTGGATAACGTTATATTTTGGATGAGATTGAATTTGTACGTGTTTTTTTTTTTAATCAGTCTAGTAAAGAACCTGTTTCAGTGCAGCATTAGGGTTACCAGGTTACCAATACCTATGACTTCCTTTACCACTTTGGTATTTAGAGGAAGTCGTCGTAGAATTTGTGTAAAATGAAAAATAAAATAAATGAATAAAGAACTAATTTTGGGGCAATTATAATGTTTACTAATATCGTATTAAGAAGKCTAATTGGCGTCCAACTTCAATAAAAGTTAATTTTTACTTTATGTAAAACGGTTCGTAGAGTGTTTAAATCGTTCTATGGTTTATATAATATTAGAGAATCTGAGAAATCTCGTGAAAGGCGATCAACCCAGTGGAGTTAATCGAACAACCATACAACAGTGGGTAGACATATTATATAGTGCTAATACTGACCAAAGTAGATTATCAATTCTAAAATAAGCATCTTACTTAAAGTAGGCATGCGTAATTACTGAAAGCTGTAACCACATCGTCTGTCTTGCCCGTTGGTAAAAAACTTTACGGTAGAGATTTCTGTACTATCATAGATTATAAAAATATCAATATTTTTTTAAATTTAAAATGAAAATCTTTTTTTACCGAGTGGTTAATATTCCATTTGATAATAGATTTATGGTATATTGAAGCCAAATTCAATGTCAGCCAAGTTATAAGTTTTTTGATAAAAAAAAAAATGTAAAGTTCATAGATGATATGCAATAGTTCATGTTTGTGATAAGCTAGAAATATTTAATTTTATAAAGAAATATACTTCAATAACAATCCAAAATTATCAAATCAATTGTGACATTGTATCTATTAAAAAAAATTGCTTATTTAAAATTAAATATCTGCAGTTAACCAAAATACTATTAGTCCACAACCCAYGAATTTCGTTCTTCAATCTCAAACTTTATCGATAAAAACTAAAGAATAATAATACGAAATTAAATAATCATGGTAATTAATAAATTAATGCCATAGTTTGATCTCAAATATTTTTGATAAGTTGATTAAAATCAAAAAGTTCCACAATATTTACAAGCTAACGAAAATCTTTTCGGATTTCGTATTCCTCTATATTATAGGTTATTATAAGCATATGGAAAATGGACTTATGAGGCGCTGAATCCATCCCCAATTTAGATTTTTTAAAWTAGGAATTATATACTCTTATAAAACATTTGGAATTATATTTAATATCACTATTTTAATTTTAACTTGGTTTCTACACAATACAGCATTGGCTCCTATTCATAGGTCTCTGCATATTATTCAAATCATAAATAAATAAATACGAATCAAGTAATAGTTGGGTTGTTGTCTATTGAACAACCATTTTATTTTTTACATTTCCTAATGTAAATTTAAACTATTTAAAGGAAAACCATTTTAATCTAGTCATTGTTATTTTTGTTTTATGTTTTATGTTATGAAAATTCAATGAGTTTGAGCCAATGAATTAAAAATAATGAAAAATTATGTAATATACAGTTTACTACCTCATTTTACAGCACGAACAAAAAACAATCTTTTTAAGATTAATAAAAAAATTGAAAATAAGAATAAAATAAATCGGTATAGATGAGGGGTGGATATCATATTATAGTCATTTTCTGTGTACTGTTTT